TGACCTAAACCATCAATTCTGCTTTTGTTGTAATCAAAGAACTTCACGCACTATTTGCTTAACCGGTGTTTTGATAGGACACTTGCTGCTAAAAAATAATGTGCAACGGATGTGATTAATAGCCCTAAATAAGACTTGGACAGCAACAGGTCAAATATATGATTACCACTATAAATCTGATTAATCAGGAATAGCCTCATCCAGTATTGTGTCCCAATGTGAACTATCACTGCTCCTATAGGGTCAGGACAGGACCTCCCACAATGCAACACTTCTTGAGGCCAGCTGATGTAGAGCCATGCCATGACAATAACTTCACTAATCAGTGGATATTAGGAAGAATAATGCTTGAGTTCGCTCAGCCATGTCCAATATATTATCTAGTTCAGTGAGAGCTATTTGAAAAGGGAGGGCTGAGGCAGAGCAGTAACGTGTTCCAAGTGCAACTTTCCACTGGATTGCTGGATTGCTGGTGGACCTACTGAACCAACAATCTGCTGTTTTGTGCTAAATTACTGAAATTGGTACGCTACTTAGTGCTTAAAAGAAGCAGAACGTGTGGCAGTCTGTTTTCCGTCAGTCATGTACCGTATAATTGGTAGTCGGGAGTAATTTGCATGACCTATATTGGTCATTCATCTGAAGGAAAACTGTTATGTTTTACAGATTCACAAATAACAAATGAGGGGGGAACTGTCCTATCCCACGTTATGTATATCTTTCTTTCTGGTAGAATATTTTCAAGTAGTCCAGTTTGGCTGCGGTCACACTGCTAAATTCAAACCATATGTAGTGCCACCGATACCGATGACAGTACATGCTGTGTATCCCTGCGTGTGCTTGCTACAGATGTGGAGATAGAATCTTCATTATGTCAAGATTATTTTACAAAAATTATATTTAATAGCACTTAATTCTTGTTTTTAATCCAGATGTCATTTTTTATTTGGTGGATTTCTGGCTTTGGCAAGTAGTTATTTTCGTAATCATTTGGTGCCACAATTATTCAGTCAATGTGAGTCCTTGTGTTCCCAACAGAGGTGATCCCTGTTTAGAACAGTGCTCAGTTTGCCAAATCAGAAATAAAGGGTTGAAATTAAGTCTGCCACTCCCCACTCCCCACGAGCAACGTTGGCACTAACCAGCCAAACTGGCATTTTTAACACTGCTCTTGTTTTGCTTCCCTTTTTCTTGACTCCTCTTAGAAGAGTTCATATGTGCCCTTTTGCATACATGTTGCACATGACTCTGTATCTTATCTGCTGGTATCTTTGTAAAAGTTTTATTGAATTATCTTTTATCCAACTCAAATAAAATAAAACAAAAAATAATTTCAATATTACACCCCTAAATATTATATTTGTGAAATGTTCTGAATACACTGTTCTTAAATGTTAGTTTACATTATTTGCTTTTTAAACTACAATAAAATAAATATTAGTCTTCCAAATATAAAGTAAGATTTATAAATGGGTAACTGGGAATAGGTCCAACAGTGGCCAAAAGCCTGACTTCAGCACCATCTGCAAATATTTAGGGGAAACAGTTGTTTCATTCTGAGCTGATACATCCAAGGTGTATGGGTTACAGTGGATAAGGTTGAGACAATAGCAGTAAATGCCTCAGTATTCTTCGACAGCAGTACAGAATTTGTGCAAAGCATGACTAAACCTTCAATCATCAAACTGGCTGGCAACCTCCGTTCCCCCTTGCTCCACACTCACCTTCATCTTCCTCTCCCACCTCCCTTCACTCTTGCTCCCTGTCAGCTCCCATCAGCCTCCCCTCTGTGATGCTCACAGAGGAATTTTACAGCTGCTGTCAGATTACTATTCACATGCACACATGTAAGGACCCAAACACACACGCACAGCACACGCATGCATGTACAGCTTCACACCAACGCGCACCAAGACTCATGCGCACATAAATCACATAAGAGAGCGTGCACACAACCGACATATGCTCACCACAAGTGTACACTCTCGTGCACTCTCACACACGTGTTGCCCTGATGACAGTCTTAGACAGCTAATTAAATTACACCATGGAGTGAAAACTACTTGGAGAGACTAAAGAAGAAGGAAACTTTAAGACCCACATTGTGGGACTGAAGGGAAAGTTTGAGATTTTGGAAAAAAAACACTTTCTAAAAACGTTCTTCTAAAAAATCCTGTATCACGTTGTATCATCACAGTATTTTTTGGCTTGACATTAGGAATGTTTTTACACTACAAAAAAAAATGTTAAGATGCTGATATGGTTACATTGTCTTACCTTTGGTCAGACTTTGTACTAAGCTAAGTAACCCAGCTACCGCAATGGCTTCAAGTGTGATGTACAAACGTGACCGTGATATCAATCTAATTCTTAGCTTAAAGCGAATAAAGTATATCCCAAAATGTTTAACTGTTTCATTAAAATCCCTTTCTTTAACTACAGCAGACAAAAAGTTGCAGATATATATGACCATATATTTAGACCAGTATACCGATGAAAACTCCTGACGCGAACATTGAACTTTGAAGGTTTTCTGATGTAAACTTTATGTTTTCTGATGTAAACTTTAGGTGCCTGGAAAATTAAAAGAGCTTCCTTTTTGTGCCAGCTCTTTGCATTTGTACATACTCAGATGATATTGAAGACAGGTAGTCAGGCTGCAGGCAAATAGACATGCTAAAAGAGAGACAGGCAGGCAGACAGACAACCAAGCAGTCAGGCAGACTGAGAGGCATACAGGAGCTCAGGGGTTCAGAGGTCAAACCGGCTCAGGTCATACTTCTGAAAATCTATACATCATTTTATTGTCTTTATTTCTTAATCTGCTCGCACCCCCAATTAGCATTCGACAGTCAGACTGTCTGACAACACAACCCTGTCTTACTGTTTCAAAATACAACTCTTTGAAAACGTTCTGATCTGTGTACATGTGCATTTGTTGAACACTTACGGACATATGTGAGCAGTATGTTTTCAGGTGCAGTATGGGTGTTGTATTGCTGTGTGTGGTGTGCACACATGTGTGCCTGTACAACGGTGTGTGTGTATCAATGTAAGAGGAGGAGGAGCGATAAACCTCTAGCAGCAGCTGACACTGTAAAGACTTCCTGAGCTTCTAAACATATGGTAGGAATTGTCTTCATGATGGCATTATATCACAAAAATAAATCCAGAATTTGCACACTTGGGGAGAAATCTGGAAGTCAGTTTTGTATATGTATCAGTTTAGAGCAAAATACTCCCAGGATGTCTATGTTCTTCTTATTTTATTTTGCCTACCTCTTATCTTTTGGGAGTTGCAATCAGGGGAAGTCAGTCATTTTGGTTTTGACACTGCGGCATTGTCTCGTTTATTCCCTTCTTATCCTTCAAAGCAAAAACATCTTTCACGTGTGACATTATCACTGATCTAACATGACAGAGCATTTGGAAAATGCATCAAACACCTTGAACAAACCCTGAGGACAAAGCGCCATAGAGAAAGTCCTGTCCTGCTTTTTCACCAACTAATTTATCATAAGGGTCTTCTCTCATCACTTTCTCGAAGATGCTGAAACATGACAAAGGGGTTTTCTATCCTTATCGAAGGCTAAATGCCATGCATGTTGGAGGCCTGAATCTATCACTCATCGAACGCTCAAATTTAATTAAAAAGTTTCTATTTATCTTAAGATAAAGACATATGACCCCATCCTCGGCCTGTTTCAGCTTTGTCGACATAAAGAAAATCCATTGCAGACTGACACTTGCAGAACAGTCTGGGTGGAACCTCATAGACCAGCTTGCACCTTCACTCTGATCCACATATTCTGACTCGGGGCCAAAAAGATCCCACAGTAAACCGTCACACATTTATTTCTCCCGCAGCACAGCAGAACCCTCATCTGGTTTTCTTTTGGGGAGGATGAAACGCTCCAGAATCTGAACAAGCGCTCCCGATTATTTGGCTCCCACACTCCTAAGCACTTCCATGAATGATTGTTTGGAGTTTAGAAATGTTGGCACGCTGCCTATCAGTGCAGCTGCGGAATACAGGAGAGATGGGAGAGTGACGAGTGGATGAAACGGGGTCAAAGGTCACATTTCAGACATAATCCATCCCAAATTACTGATTACCTGCTTTCGGGGTGTAATCATTTGGGTCACAAAACCCAGACTGCTGAATTCAAATAAATATTTTTTGTACATTTTCTTTGAAATGCATCATCAATTAAAAACGACCTGATGTGGAACAGACATAACAAACACTTGTTATTGCAGTCTCCCACATAAGAGGGGAATTACTTATTTGCACTGCAAGTAAAAAGAACACTGTGCCTGTTCTCTTCTTTTTATCACACACTGATTGTTCCTCTCACACACGTCCTCCTGCAACCCGAGAGATGGACACAAACCCCATCTCTCAGCACAGGTGTCAAATGTGATTGGCTACAGGCTGTACTTACCACACCCCCACACCCACACACCCCTCCTCAAAACACACACCGTGTACTCAGCGTGCTCACTTGGCAGGCTCTCCCGGGGGGAACACATTGGGACTCAGTGCGACTTTCATAGAAGTGTGCTATTGCCAAGACGAGCCTATTTAAGCTTTAATCACATGATTTCACTGGGAGTCAAAATGGTCTTCGGGGGTCGCTGGGTAGGGAGAGAAAACGAGAGAGGGAAGCAGAGTGAGCGTGTGTGTTAAAGGGAGAGGGGTAGATAGACTTTGGATACTGCTCGGACTGTCTGAGTGAAAGAAAAAAAAAATGACTTGCCGGGAGAGAGGACGTGAGTTTAAGCTATGTGCTGCTGCATCGGAATACTGCGCTTGGAAATGAATGGAAACCAATGTGGCACAAGTGAAGAAGTCTGCATCTGAAACTCGTTGATGCCTCATTCAGGAGAATTTCTGCAGAGCTGCTGCGTCTGCTGTTGGATTTCTTTATTGAAACTCATTTTCAACTGCTGGCAAGTGGCCGTCTGATTTATCATTTTTTGCGTAAAGGTGCGCAAAGATGGCTTTCCTGCGGATTTGTGCAGTGTGGAGAACCTGTGTGCGCCCGTCGCTCGTTTTCCATCTCTTCTGCTTTTTCACTCTGAGCAAAGTAAGTCCGTTGTATATTATCTCCGCTGCGCTTGTAGGCACATGCATGAGCAGCTCATAAAGTTGTCAACACTTCAAATTACAGAAAGCTTTGTACATTTTCCATGATATTTTGCAGTGTACACAGACCAAATCTTATTTACATTTCCGTCTTTACAGAACGTGCTTTTGACAAATGGTGCTGACAAGGTTGAATCTCCTCAAGAAGCGTCTGCCCTGCTCCTCTCTCTGAATTTACCTCAACATACAGGTAAGTTGGACAAAACGTCTTGATGATTTCATTTGTGTTTCTGTGACTGCGAAGTTCTGTTGTTAGTGCGGGAGTGCTGTTTGATCCTCTGGTTCATGTTTTGCTTTTCGATGCCTAAAAGTAAGATCATCCACCGCATCTCTCTAACTGCCAGCAGCATCAAACATAACTCACCTGCGCTGTGCATTCCCTCTCTTCACCGCTGGGGGGCGACCTGCACCCTGAATCAGAGACACCAGTGTGTGCTGCAGCAGTGGAGCTCAAACGGATCCAAAAAAAAGAGCAGTGTATTTTTGCTATTGCTAATTTCCCAAATTATTTGAAATGATCAATATGTGCCATGAATGTCATTTGCTGAAAAGCACAATTAAATGAATTGCTCATTTAGGTGTCCTCTGGGGGAGTCACTAAAGCCTTCAATGAAACCCTGAAAAAAAATGCTGCTTAGTTTTTTTGTGTGTATGTATTTGACAATTTATTTTAAAAACATGGATTGGAACAACGCTGTCCATGTATAATTAAAAAACAAACATCAAGAAAGTCACAGGCCTTGTTGTTTGCATGGACATATTACAGTATGTCCACAGCAGCATACAAAAACAGAAAAAAACATAATACACACAAGAAGATTCACATATGGCCTCAACAGGCATTATTCTGAAACTAGTTCACACTTTTATTATACCATAATTAGTCTATTAAATGCTGCATACAATCCTGCTTACACATTGCTCTCTACAGGGATACCTTATTCATAAGCCGATGTTTCAGTTATGCATTGAGTCTGTTTAATGCTATTGGGTAAACATATGCCATCTTTAGGCACTTTACCAGTGTCCGATGTGCTATACTGGACCTGGAGTTGTGCCTTAGAGCTTCTCTGAACTGCTGGAAGCAGTTTAATAAGTCATTTAGGGCTACCCCATTTACAACAGAGATATAGTTGTGTCACTCGAAAATTCAATTCAGTAATGAGTGCAAGCAGTGAATGCAAGTCTTCCATCTGTTCTTTGTTTTGTGGATCTAACCCCATGTGGTGTGCTGAGTCAGCAACTGCTTTGGCTGTGCATTCTCCTTCAGATCCTTTGTTTTTTTGTTGTTGTTTTGTCAGTTACCATGAAAAGCAGACACACAAACATATAAACAAACCATCAAAACTCCTTTCAACGGGCACATGTGCTGATGATCTGAAACAGAAGTGAGGGGAAGCCCTTACTTCTGTTTCAGATCATCTCACCGCTTGCACAACTATTACTCAGTGTTGATTTGTTTAACATTCATTCAGCTATGTTAGAGCGGGTGGGGAAATAGTTCCCATTTTCAATCTTTTGTCACGTTTAAGTCAATGCACCCATTGGTTAGACCCTCTATCAGTACTAATGGCACTCAAGAGCCACTAAACCAACAGACTAATCACCACAAGATCTTGTCTCAGTCCATCAGACAAGGTGTGTGTGTGTGTGTGTGTGTGTGTGTGTGTGTGTGTGTGTGTGTGTGTGTGTGTGTGTGTGTGTGTGTGTGTGTGTGTGTGTGTGTGTGTGTGTGTGTGTGTGTGTGTGTGTGTGTGTGTGTGTGTGTGTGTGTGTGCGGTCTGTTCCCGCAGAATCTGTGTTTGTATACTGCCAGACGTGGGTCACTGCAGCTGGTTTTTGAGTTAGGGCGGAACAAACACAGTGGACTAGGTGTAAATGTGTGAGTGTTGGGGGTAGATGGACAAAACAACAAAGATTGAAGAAGATAGAAGACCATTTTCTGGTTTTGCCTAAGTGCTTTGGTGTCTGCACAGAAAATGCTTGAGACTTGAAGTATGTGTTTGCTCTTTGCAGTCCTGTAACTCTTTGGGTAGACCTTGGTTGTAGCACTTCAAGGGTCGGAGGTTTGCTTCCCACTGTGACCACCCAGGCAAAAATGTATGCAGTCTTGATAATGCAAGGTGCTCTAAATAAAAGCACCCACCAATAAATACATGTCATGCTGCCTTTAAGGTATATTTTCCCCACAACATGGTCATTTGGATATCAACTACAAACCCAGTATTACCTTGAATTCTTAAAGAAAAGTTTCTACATTGCCTCTAGGTGTAGAGAATCAAAAAGTAAATGGTGGTCATAATTCAGAACAGCAAAACTATAACAAAACACCTGCTACAAATTGTGCAGTACAACACGTGCAGTATAATTCCTAGCCACAATTATCCAGTGTATCCAGCACACTGCTAACTGCGTCTCAAACATGCATGCAACACAGGGTGAGTAATTGATAAACAAATGGTCATTCTGTGGTAGGGGTATTCCTTTAAGCAAGCCTCAAGAAGCACCAAATAGCCAAGTTCAAACCTCAGGCATTCACACTGCCAGTGATGACACACTGTCTGTCACCCTGCATGTTTCTACCACTGCCAAAACATGTCTGTCTCTGCGCTATATTTACTCATTATTCAGGCTGTACAGTAACTGAGACTGGCTCTTGTTGACTGTAAGTCCAAGGTTGCTGTTATTTCTGTTCACTTTAAGCTGATAAAGTGTGCACATATCATTTTCCCATGGCAAGACTCAACACATTTGCAAGAGCCATTACAATGTTGTCACTAAATCAACAATGACACTATTTTATTTGTTTGCCTGGTGGTTACTTATAGACCCAAAGGGTATCAAGCGCATTAGGTTTCAAAGGGTGTGTGATGACTCACAGGCATTCTCTATCACCACTAATATATCCCACTACAGTAGCACCATTTACTATGGAACACCCTCTAAAGGCATAAAGCATCACTTAACATATTCAAATGTTTTCCTAAATTTCGTTGCAAATCATTTTGTCCATGCAACAGGCATGATATCTGAAACCCTGCAATATATCCAAAGTCATGCTTCTTTCCTCATAGGAGATGGCTTGCTTTAGAAGGTGACAAACTTGGACAAGAGCAATGTCTGTCATGATTTCCACTTGAAAATCAAGTTCAGTGCAGCTGAAGGAGTCACCTACTCTTTTGATTTTACCTTTGGAGGATATCCCGTTAGTTTCTGTGGCCACAGCGCCATTAGACATTTAACTCGTCTAAGAGGCCAGGCCTGTGACCTGCCACCATCTCCATTTATGACCAGCAGTTATTCAGCCTGAGCTGTAGTAAAAATCTCTAGTAAAACACTATAGGTCAAACATGATTCACTCTCCACTGAAGTGCCTGTGTTGGAATTGTCTAAAACCCTTCCTTTTCTTGTAACTCTCTCTTGACCATGTCGACAAAAGTATATGAGGCAGGTCAAGGAAACTTTATATACTAAAAAGGTTTTAATTTTGAATCAGTCCATCATGCAACCAAGGTAGCAGCTGACACAGCATGCACTATGTCACAGTAAATTATATTGACATGTCAAATTAGCTAGGAATGACCACAAGGACAATGTATTTCATGTTTGCCACAACAAGTCCTCCAACTCATAAGACCAAATAGGTAGATTGTTCAAGCCCTTATTACGACCAAATAGGTTGATTGTTCAAGTGCTTATTACGACCTATAATCACGTTTTAAAGTTTTCGACCTCTAGTGCTCCCGCTGAATGCAAACGCTACGGAGGGGGTTGAACGTCGGGCCGATCCACGCCCCTTAGCTATGATATAATGAGCATATACCACGGCCTGTCGTGAGCTATTGCTTAAATAACCCTCTCTGGAAAATCCTAAATTGTAGGATAGTGTGGCCATTAAAATGCTTTTTGATTAGATTTCTAGCGAGAAGTGTATATTGTGCTTTCAGAATCCACATCCAGTGGATGTGTAGGATCTATAGTTTGATAGATATTACGAAGATGATTTGAGGTTTCGCCAGGAGAACGTGTATATGCGGCAGCGTCCATGTAAAGTTAGTGTCAACCCTCACGGGGTGAAAACAGTATTTCCGGTCTCGAAGTTTTCATAATAAAACCGTATTCCCCTCACTGTCAAATTATTACTAGATATTACTGATTTTCTTTGAATATAAGAATGTAAATACTGAGTTGAGAGAATAGTCAGGGGTTTTGGGTGATGGGAGACACATCTATGGATTCAGAATTTCAATAGCTTACCATTAAATGACGGATATACCTTTCTGTCTGTGATGTTTTACAAATCAGATATTAATATCTGATATATTACATTATATATATCATATATAATATATATATATATATATATATATATATATATATATATATATATACATGATCAGCTATAATATTTCACATATTGTAGTTCTATAGACAATATATATATATACTATAGAAATATTATAGCAATATCCTGTACAATTATGTGAAAACATGAATAAAACTACACATCTTCAGATGTTATACATACACAAGTGTCCTACACTAATAATACAAAGTTATTATGGCATTGTATGCTGTGTGTTATTTGTAACATCTTCAGAAACTACCTTTCCAACTCCTCATGCAGTTGACTGTTACAGGTCTATACAGGTTCACGGTACAATGCATAAGCTTCAAATCGAGAGACTGAAACTGTATTTTTCTTTAAGTTAATAGTTAAATTATGTTTGATATTATTATGTTTTATTAACTAGACCACTGGTTTTTTAACCTGCACCGCCTAGTGGTTAAAGCACGTTATTGAATTTTGTTGTTGAATATGTTATATTTGATGAAAGGAGGGGGAGTAGGGGAGCTGGGCTGGACCCGTTCGAGTCCAGTTTTGGATAGTCTGCCGTGGTTACATTCCATTTCAAAGAGCTGTTTGACGCTCGGCATAATCTTGTCGCACTGCCACTCCAACATCCAATCACAGAGCTTGAGGACTAATCACGGGGTTTGTAAAGCAAAGCGGATGTTGTAGTCCCAAACGATAGCTGAGGATTCTGGGTAGTGTAGTGTCTTCGGAAACTCTGTAGTGTCTAAACTCCGAAAAAACTATTTGTTTCTCCGAATCGAAGGTTAAAAACACAAAAGCATTGTACACAATTTAAACCAATCAATGTTGTGTAATTAACAAGGATAAACTGATGTTTTTTAGTGGATGAGTAATGCAGATATCACTGTGTAATCATTTGACAGTGAGGGGAATACTTCCGGTTTTATTATGAAAACTTCGAGACCGGAAATACTGTTTTCACCCCGTGAGGGTTGACGTCAACTTTACATGGACGCTGCGGAAAGACGTAGTATACTACACGTTCTCCTGGCGAGACCTCAAATCATCTTCGTAATATCTATCAAACTATAGATCCTACACATCCACTGGACGTAGATTCTAAAAGTACAATATACACTTCTCACTAGAAATCTAATCAAAAAGCATTTTAATGGCCAAACTATTCCACAATTTAGGATTTTCCAGAGAGGGTTATTTGTGAATAAACGACCCTCCGGAGCGTTTGCAATCAACGGGAGCATGTTGTTTCTTACACGACCACTATAGGTGCTACACTTTAAAACGTGACTCTGGGTCGTAATAAGCTGCTGAACAATCAACCTATTTGGTCGTTTTTTGTAGGAGGACAGGCTGGTTTGCCAAGTTGTCATTTACAACATGTATACACACGACATCATAACTTTCTCTCAACAATAGCTCCCAATGTATATAATACATAATATTTGTATAGGGCTTTTTCTAATGCTCAAAGACGCTTGTATTAGTATTAAATAATAATTAAAATGTTGTATTATATTAAAGAGTGGATTTTGCCTTTGAAATAATATCCTAATTTTCTTTTTTTCTATATCTTTTTTCTAGAATATGAAATTGTATCTCCCTATGAGGTCAACCACCAAGGCGTTTACATCTCTCATGAAGTTGCCCACTACCAGCGCAGGAGGAGGCGGAGGTCCCTGAGCCCAGATGCAGGCTCACCAAACACCGATGGCAGCAGCGAAACGGTCCATTTCTTGATGAGTGGCTTGGGGCAGGACTTCCACATGGAGCTGAGGGAGGCCTCTGAGAGCCTGATTGCACCTGGCTTCACCATCCAGGTCCTGGGAAAGAACGGCACCAAGAGCCTGAGGGCCTACCACCAGGACGACCTCTGCTTTTACCAGGGGTCGCTGAGGTCAAGGGTCAATTCCTCTGTAGCACTGTCCACATGCACGGGAATGGTGAGTCTGAACATGCACAGAGTCTGATTGGGGTTGGTTAGTGTTTGCATCAGTGAAAAGGACTTCTGGGTCAAATAATTTGAAAGTTGGTTTTTTTTAATGTTTTTTGGCAACATTCTGTAATTGCACTTACTGACTTAGAAGAAATAGTGTGCCTTGGAGTAAAAGTTAAGAAATATAGCTCATCCTGGGACCATTGATAATATAAACACAGCTTTAGTGTTCTTGTCATGCTGAATTAGTGTCGAGACTAGTTAAAGTAAGTGACTGAAAACAACATTTAACATGTATTGGGACTTTTGGTTGAAAGAAATTTGAGAGGAGAACATCTGATTACAGCCAGCCAGTGACTCTAGATTAAAAAAAGATTACATTTGTAATACACTGTCCTTTCCTCTGACACTTATACATTTATCAAGCATTCTTCTAAGTTAGCTCCTGTGTGGCTGCTTTTCACACAGCATTTGAGTCACTGCATTGTCTGTCTGATCTGGTCATAAAATCGACTTGTACTTGACTTCAATTGACTTAAAAACCCTCTGGCCATGTTGACAAGTCATGCACAGCTGTTCCTTCCTCCAAACTGCTGTGAATCATTAGTCCTAGCTCATTCAGTGAAGGCCTACGTTGCATTTGTGCCTAAATCAGCAAATGAATAACTAATTAATGGAAAAGTCAAGTCTGTGAATTACGCATAATGTTCATGCGTCAATTAATTCCCAAAACACGTCCATGCCAAGCATGCCAAAACAATGTTTTGGTTGTCGTTCATTTTCTTATTTTGCACACAGTATACTGTTATTGCACTGAATATACTTTTTAGGAATGGTGGGGCGCAGTATCGTAGCAAACTTACCTATTACTAATGTTTCAGCATGATATAGAACAACAAACAAGCTCCACAACAGTATGCTGATGTAGAGCAGATGTATTGGTGCTGAGATTATCTATTCGTATGATAAAGTATACGTTGTTAAATGTGAAGCAAAGACAAGAGGCGTTAGGTTAGCAAAATACTTGCTGAATTTCATTTATTACTTTGGTGGTCCTCCTCTTCTACATAAATATAAAGGATTTAACGTTACTGTTATGGCGCATTTCCACTGCAGGGCCTCGCACGGCTTAGTACGGTACAGTTAGGCCTTGGTAGGCCAGGCTCACTTTATGCTGCGTTTCCATTACAGTTTAGGAACTGGGGTAGTAACTATAGTAACGCAGTGTAGGCGGAGCCGTGACGTCATCTTCAATGCGAAACACAAAACCAACATCAGCCGTTAGCTGTTAGCCCTCAGAGCTCACAGCTCCTCATATCTGTTCAGAAAGTAGACAAAAGTTAAACATGTACAAACCACAGACTGCCTGTGTCATGGCGAATACAGTCGCTGCTTTATTTATGTCTGTATAGGCCGTTGTTGTGAGTGTGGACGGTCGGAGCATATACAACGTTAGCTTAGCCGATCTCCATTCAGAAAACACGCATTTTAAAAGGTTTTCGCCTGCCGTCTTGTCTGCAGACTTGTCAAGCATTAATTCATGGTTTTTACTAACATCAGTATGTTGTTACTTCGGCATCATTTTGAAACGTGTATAACAATTCAATCACGGTAAAATATGTTCATTTTGTTGTAGTTGCCAGCGATTCTCTCACTAGTCAACCCAGTCTCACGGCATTTCGTGTTATTAGTCACGAAATTAATTTAATCTATTGATTCGTGTTCACCAACACGATTTGCACCTTTTTTTTTCGTGTCACACAGAACGATTTTAAATGCAATGTATTTCTATTGGTAGTATGTTTCGTGCCTGCAACACATCTTTTTGTCCGTTCGGGTCTTGGAAGACCAGAAGCTGTGTGGTTCATAAAAACATGTTCTTACTCAATATCTTACCCTAAGCCTAACCCTTTTATTTTAAATTGTATAATGTCTGAGTTTTTGTGCCGTCAGTGAGGAAAAGAAATGTCTCAGAGCCTCAGAATACTGAAATCTGTATTTTATGTCATCTTTTTTTCCTTCTAATTTGTTATTATTTGGTGCAGGCACGAAACATACTACCAATATAAATACATTGCTTCTAAAATCGTTCTGTGTCAGAATACTTAAATCTGTATTTTTTAAAATGTGTTTTTCCTTCTAATTTGTTATTATTTACATTGCTTTTAAAATCATTCTGTGTGACACGAAAAAAATGGCGAAATCGTGTTGGTGAACACGAATCAATAGATTAATTTCGTGACTATAACACGAAATGCCGTGAGACTGTGTTGCACTAGTTTAGCATACTCAGCCCGGTTGTTGGCCCGGAAAGAACCTCGATTTTGGAGAGCCAGAAAACTGTGAAAAAGTACCCGCTAGCTGGAACTACGCCTAGTGGAAACGCAACCAAAAACGGGCCGGGCACGGCACGCTTAAACCGCGCTGTAGTGGAAATGCGCCATTAGAGTGGCATTGTAAACCTAAGTGAAGCGGTTCCACCCCAGTAGGACCCCAAGTGGTATTCCAGCCTCTTTAGCAGTCTGCAGTAGAGAACAAAGGGCTTGATAAATACACACTTATTCTCTCAGTCTTGCATTCACATACTAGATCTTAATAGCTGGAGTGAGGAAACTAGACAGCAAGTTGTTAAACTCCTGTATTGTTTCTTATTGATGTTGCAGTTCATTAGTTGATAAAAAAAGAAAACTGACTCTTGAGAGGAATCAAGCTAGTAGCCATAGAAGCTTTGCATCTGGAGGCCCTCGTTACAGGAGAAATGTAATCATTCAACTCACAATAGCTGTACAATAAAAATTCGTATTTTGACCAAATTGAAATAGAGTACATTTCTGGCCCTTCTTGCTGTTTATAGTTCCATTGTAGAGGACTGCTGCTGTGTCTGATAATCTAAGTCTCTAAAAGTAGACAGAGAACAGCATATCTCCAGGGATGCTGCTGCTTCTTCTTTGTGTGTGTGTGTTGTGTGTGTGTGTGTGTGTGTGTGTGTGTGTGTGTGTGTGTGTGTGTGTGTGTGTGTGTGTGTGTGTGTGTGTGTGTGTGTGTGTGTGTGTGTGTGTGTGTGTGTGTTGTGTGTGTGTGTGTGTGTGTGTGTGTGTGTGTGTGTGTGTGTGTGTGTGTGTGTGTGTGTGTGAGAGAGAGAGTCTGTGTGTGCATGCATGTATTTCAGACCAGATCCCAATAAAAGATTCAGCCAAAAGGTCCGGGGTTGCACAGACTATAAATGTGGTTCTCACGACTGAGACAGGCTAGGATGGTCTGGGTCAATGCATTAGTGATTTGGCCTTTTTCCTATGTGCAACAGGGAACTGCAGAGATCAGCAGACAACAGTCTTTAGGCTCAATGGGAATACTATTTTTTTAAAGTGTCAAAATGTCTGTTATCCTGTGCTGAGTTGCATTTCTTTTTAACCAATTTACATTTCTATAACAAGACCTGAAATATGAGTTTTCACTATATGCAGACAATTGGTCGAAACGTGGTACCCCATTGGAGACCTTGCACTTTGGTCAAGTCTCTAGTACAGAAGGCAGGTAAATATTGACCATTGGAGCTTAGATCAATAGTTGTATCAGCAAGAGTACCAACTTCAGCACAACACCGCTAACATTGGGTTCATTCAATCACCATTATTTAAACCATTATTGTTTTAGATCATTTCCTTGATAGGGCAATTCTGTTTTCAGAGTTTAACCTGATCTATAATCACATATAGCAGAATCTTAATGGACAACTGATTTTCTTGTCCCAGTACAAATGTGGTAGTGATATTAAGTTAGTCAGTGTGATGACAGTTTTGGTCTTTGGCATCAAGATTCTCCAGGAATATCCTGTTCCTGTTTTTAGTAATACATATAACAATGTCATTGTGTTTTGTATGAGATTGTTTGTCGAGTGCGATTACATTGTATTAAGTCTCCTCAAACAAAGAAAAAAATTACTCCGCCGCTATTCATTGGTGTTGCTATCAGCCATTCTGTATTTTCATTAGGAAGAGTAGCTGATTGAGATATTGTAAATATACATGCTCTGCTTTGGAAATGTTGTTTTAATTACATTGGAACTTCTAGCTAATAATGCATCCTATTACAAAAAATGGCTTTCTCAATTACTTTTTTTGCATTTGACTCATACACTAGGTCTATATGTTGTTATTTTTCTCTGGCTTTTTAATAGACAGAGAAAAAAGGTAAAGAAAGAAGAGATGTAAGACAAACACAGAGAGATGTTCTATAGAGTTGAACACTTTGAGGGTCATTGTCCCCTCCGTGGCAAGTGCTGAAAACCCCCTTGTGAGTGTTACGTTGTAAAGCATATGTATAAGTTGCCGTTTGAACTCCCCTCCTCTGGCAGCCCATATAGTTGTTAACCCCACTTTGATGACAGTAGGGAGTTCAACCATAAAAATCTCGTACTTACGAGCAAGGAATTGGTGGAATAAAAGAAGCAGGCCAAACCCACCGACTGTTCACCTGCCAAATAGTTTGCGACTCTGCAAAGTGACACACATGTGGAAGGGGAGATCATAAAGCAAGTCCCTCTCTGTGTCGATGCACAATCGTAATCCTTTTTAGTATGGATTTTACGGGGGTGAGGGGGTTGAGGGGTGAGAAGAGAGCCATGAAGGCATTGTTTGACTCTCACACCACAAACCTTTTTTTTTTTCTCTATACATGACATTGTGTGCTTGTTTTCAGCCATGCTAGCATCAGCAGTATGGCTCTATGCTCAGTCATATTGGTCTGTCGTTCACAAATTTGGTCAAGACTGAAATATCTCAACATCTAGTTTATGGATTGGCATACACTTTTGTACACAATTTTCAGTTCCCAAAATGTAATATCTACTAACTTTCTGTATTTCAATGTATCTGTTATTCCTACTTTTTTATGACTAAAATTCACATCTGCCTCAGCTGTTGTGTTAAGCGCTAATTAGCAAATGTTGGCACTGACAAGCTAAACTAACATGGTGAACATTATACCCCCTGCATGTTAGTATTGTCA